CCTAGTTCTTGCCTCACAGTTTAAATGCTTCCAGTTTTAACATATTTTGAATAAATTCTGAAGGATTTACAGGAAATGGAGAAGAATGCCCTGGACAAGTCAGTAAATGAGTGAGTCGATTCCTAGAGGCCTGTGGGATCATTCCTGGGCACTGGGTGGGGTAGGGGAAAAAGAGTATTTCCATGGAGCCAGCACATTGAAATTCCTGACTCTGTGGACAAAACTGCTGCTCAGCAAGAACATAACCATGGTCCCCAAGAGAGTGGTCAAGGAAACATGATAAAAGTCACACAAATTATGGGAAGGATTTGTTTATTACCTAATAGGTTTTGATCAACTTCACATACCTTTCAATGACACTTATCTATGAAATTCTTTTCTTTCTTTGCATGTGTGGCATTTGCACTTGTGTTCCCATGTGTTGTGTGTGTGTGTGTGTGTGTGTGTGTGTGTATGTTTCAAGGTTAGTGACACTGAAACTCAAGAGATAATGGGAAAACCCAGTGAAGATTTTTGGACAATCTATTTTCTGGGAGACAAATGTTTCCTGTGTCAGAATCACCAGAAGAAACTTTCTTTTCTTTTTAGAAATAGCATCTTCCCATGTAGCTCAGGTCAGTCTCAAGCTTGTTATCCTCCTGGATGCTGATTAGAGGCATGCACTGCTGTGCCAACTATGGAAATGAGACCTTTTCTATGTGAGTTTTTACAACTTCAAAATATAATTCTTCATAACAATGGAACATGAGACCTATCTTTTCCACTTTAACATTAGTTAGGTAGAAAACCTGGGCACTGTATACAGCAATATGTGTCACTCATATGAATGATGACCTACCTACAGCTAGAACTTACTACCTTATGAAAAATATTAAAAATGGGAAACGATACAGTTTTATACAAATGCACATTAAGCAAAACAGAAAGCTATCGGAATAGTACTCTTTCTACCACATTTCATAACATCTTTTTCTATGTTCCACCCACTGTGTTCACCACACCAATGCCCTGCCCAAGGTAGCAGTCTCATTATATAGACAGCTAGACTATGGCTCTGAGAAGCTATGTCCAAGGTCCCCACTGTGCTGTTTCAGAGGACGAATCCAATGTACTTGACAAGTCACACATTCATAACTTCATTCCTGAGACAGTTATGATCCTGGGTTTATTACTTGTTAATTGTTCTTTGTGCTCATGGACCAATCACTCTGTACCTTCTTGTTATCTATCACTATATTCTGAATACAGAAAGGCTGTTTTTCTTCCCCGCTGCAATGGGAAATACAAATAATAATTTACCTACAGGCATTCTAGCAGCTCATAGGATTTTGCCTGAGCTCTGAGCCTCCCGATTTTATGAGGGATCAGAAGGCACTGCGCAAAGTGATGCTTCATCTCCTGGTGAGAAACAAATGAGTTCATCCCAGGAGGTCTGACCTCAGTCAGCCAGATTTGTAAATTCACTACTTAGCTCCCAGGGAGAAAAACCTTCCCCAGACGTTGCTTGGAAGACTGGCAGCCAGAGCTCAGGCAAATGAGTGTTAATCCACTGAGCCACAGTGTCTGGCTCCTGCCCTAAACTACTTGAATTCATAAGAAGGCTTCAGATATGATGAATTACCTCAAATTGAAAACTGATGCACAATTTTTTTAAAGGGAAGCCCTTAATTTAAAATTATGTGGTGACTCACCGCTCAGGTATCTATCCAGTATTTACTATGTGTTAGGTAATTTGCTGGGCATTGGGAAGGATAAGCCAGAGCAGTCCCTGCTCTCAGAGAAATTGTGTGTTCCCGGAGTCTCTTCTCTCTTATTTCTTGGAAAAATAGGTAGTGAAAGCACCTTTGAGGTGTTTCTCGATTTGAGTTACCACCTGAGAAATCTAAAAATGAAACAAACACCCCCACCCCCAGCCGGGGTTTCTTTATGGCTTTGGAGGCTGTCTTGGAACTAGCTCTTGTAGACCAGGCTGGCCTTGATTGAACTCACAGAAATCTGCCTGCTTCTGCCTCCTGAGTGCTGGGACTAAAGGCGTGTGCCACCACCGCCTGGCCAAACACCACTGTCTAAAGAATATAGTGTGTGTGCTGGTTGGTTTTGTCCACTTGACACAAAACTAGACACACCTGGAAAGAGGGACTCTCTGCTGGGGAATTGCCTACATCAGATTAGCCTGTGTCTCTTGGGACAATTTCTTAATTGCTAATTGATGTAGGAGGGCCCAGTCCCTTGTGGGTAGGTGCCATCTCTAAACATATGGACCTTAGCTGTTTAACAAAGGCGGCTGAGCAAGCCATGAGGAATGAACTAGGAAGCAGTGTGCCTCCAGTTCCTGCGGTGAATTCCTACCCTGGCTTCCCTTGATAATGGACTGTAACTTATTAGCCAAATAAACTCTTCCCAACCAAGATGCTTTTGGTCATGGTGTTTATCACTGAAAGAGAAAGTGAACGGGGACATTGTATATTGAATATTTTTGATATTTCACCTTTTCCCTTTAGCCTATTATTTATAGAACTTGATAACACTTAAAGCATGATTACCTAAGAAATGAATAAAAATGACTGAGTATAATAAAATCAAAGCAGGGAAAAAGCCTAACTCCAGATGCAAGCAATTAAGTGGACTTGTTTTTTGCATTCATTTCCACAGGTTCTAGAATTCAGATCCTCCTGATGTAAGAGAAACTGTTCACCAGTGTGGCCCTTGGGACTGAAAAAAACACAGCCTCCAGCAGGCAGATGAAACATTCCCACTGCACTTTCCACAATACTATAAGCACATGTAGCATGGTTTGGAGTTATTCTCCTGTGGCTCCTTTCCCAGGGACCATAGTGTCAAGTCTCTGAGCTGTTCCTACACCATATCCTTGGTGGCACTGGGGTCTCACTTCCTTCCTCCCTTTATTTCGGTCTTTTACATGAGATCCACACCTCCCTGCTCTTCCAAACATGCCTATCCACCATTGCTCTGATATGTTTCTAATATGCATGAAGTTGAGGAAGGTGTTCCTCAATCAGTGCTGTCATGCTCTCTAACCTGACCCAGTTTGCTCCAGTTGGCCGGAGAGGACCTTTCCAGTTATAACTCTGTCATTTCTTTCTAGGTGCCTTGCAAGTACCATATCACAGCTTGCAAAGAATTAAGTGGCTTCACATATGCATCACACAGACCTATAAACATTGGCTAAGTAAGATATAGCAAGTGAAAAAAAGCAATGCACAAAAAGCAAAAAGCAGTGTGCAGAGTGTGGTATGATTTGTTTTTAAAATTATCTGTTTATGCATATAAGTGTTTTGTCTCCATGTATGTAAGGTGTCAGATCTTTAGAACTGGAGTTAGGGATGGTTGTAAACTACCACGTGGGTGGTGGGTGGTGGGTGCTGGAACTGAACCTGGGTCCTCTGCATGAGTCCTTAACCATATCATTTGTTTCTAACAGTAAGGAGTATGGACTAGCCAGAAGGCTCAGTGAGTAAGAGTACTTGCTGCCAAGCCTACTGACCTGAGTTCGATCCCTGAAGCCCAGGTGGTGTAAGGACAGAACTGACTCCTACAAGTTGCCTTCTGATCACCACATACAGTGAGTAAATGAAGAAATGTAAAAACAACAACAAAAACAAAACCCAGTTAGAGTATGTACATGGAGAAACAACCATCAACCATAGAACAGCTCTCTGGGCAAAGGCACAAGTGGTAAGATATAATTTAGATGTAAACAAAGACAGTTCACTTTCTTTGACCTCTACTGAAAATCCACACTACATGCTTCTACTTACTCCAACAACAGTCTTTAACAAGTTAAAGTTTCCTTTTCCATTCTCCAAGTACAGCTTGATCTTCACTGCAAGGACCTTCTGCTCCAAATATTCTCCTTCACTACTGGCCTCAACCAGACTCGCTGTTATCTGTTTTATGAACACATCCTAACATGCCACAGAAGCCCCATCCGTAGCAGACATCTTCCTCACCTCCATATCTGTTTTGTGTTATTATTTGTGGACATTTACTTCACTTCTTATGTGTCAGCTTTTAGAGGGCAGGGCTAACTTGGTCATTGTTCACAAGATCATGCCTTGGCTCTGGCAACCCAGAGCTAACACATATGAAGCTGGGAGGACTGCTGGAGGGCGCAAGATGCTGAGCCATGATGACTGCTGCAAGATCACACAGCATTGCCGGTTGGTCGTAGATTTCACAAGAAAAGGAAAAGGTAACAGGTTCTGAAGTTAAGAAATTAAAACATTTGCAGTCAAGTAATCTTACAGATAATTTCTGTTCCATAGCCAACTTCTAAGCATTCTCCCCAATGACTGTGTTTTCTTCACCATCTCTCAACACAGACGGGTGGTCTTGAAGCTTCACCCAATCCCTAATTATCCATGTTCCTCTCTGCTTTTTGCGTCATAATGACTATTTTAAGCAGGTGTAAAATCACCTTCCCTGGTTTGTCTTCCACCTTAAATTACAAGTAGCCACCTTGACTTTAAAGTATTTACAGGTCATTTGTCCTACATATTATTCTGCTAAATATTTCATCCCAGTAGTTAGGGCATCAAAAAGGGGGAAAAAAAACTCACAAAAACAAAAACAAGAGCCCTTTTGTAGCAGGCATGGTTATTTTGTATTAGCTTAGTATAGCTTTCAAAAACTCTTTAAGACAGAAATATGTCTCAACATTGGAAGCTAAAGAAGATATAAAAAGCTTACTACACAAAATGCAGTATTATATATGAATGATCCAGGGTTTCTGTGAAGCAGCGCTCCTGCCTTATAATGTTAAAGAAATCAGACGGCAGTTTCTTCTAGCTAACACATGTATAAGGCACGAGTCAGTTTACTTAGTGTTGTTCAAAGCTGTACACACAGTTAAAGTGGAGCCACGGTATTAAACTATACAAAGGTGTCTTTTAGCCTCACATCAATGAAGTGTTTCCACAGGTACCTGATATAAAAAACGAAGGAAGGCATTGACGAATAAGAAGAACAAAGTCACTTACATCAAGAGAGGCTTCGTTTATAACAATCATCCCCATGTTCTTCTTCAGAAGTCTGCAGGAGTGTCCTAGGGACACACAATACATAGGTATCATTAGCTTTTCTGGAAAGAAGGGAAGCTGCTAAAGCAATGCATGATCAAACACCTACAGAGGGTTTTTATGGAGAGGGAAGGGTTATCAGTTGTTTTCCAGACTAATAGGAAGGTAAAAATGAAACGTTCTTGTTGGCCATTAGGAAGGGTGTGAGGTAAGGGCATCACTTGTAGCTGTCTGAATAAACAACATGGAACAATTGTGCCCAGTGTCTCCACGTCCTGAAAGCAGCCAAGCATATGCACTGTATACTTTGTAGTGGCCAAAATGAACAGTAAAGGCTGGGCCAGTGATGCTTGTAGAGAAGGTTCAGGAGGGTGGGTGACTCTCTTGGACCTGCTGGCCCCACATCTCCCTGTCCTGGATGGTCACAGCATCATTTTCTTGACCTTCTTTCTCTTATATTCCTTTCATGACAAAGTCACTTCTGTATTAAATTCATGCCTGCCTGTTCTCTATAGGCTTAATACAGTTGATAAAGCTGAAGAAACACAGGCAACTCTCCCGGCTCATCTCACACTAACAAAAATATAATATCGTCATTTACAATCATTGCCTTTAAAATCTCAGTGCCTTGCTCAGCCATCATCAGAGAAGCTTCCTACTGTAGCAGATGGGAGCAAATACAGAGACCCACAACCAGACATTATGCAGGGAAAGATAGACCTTGGAACACTCAGTCCTAACTGGATGTCTCCTTCAAATTCCTTCCCTCAGGGCTCAGGGAACTCTGGGGAACAGGCAGGAAGAGCGTAAGAGCCAGAGGGCATGGAGGATACCAAGGAAACAAGGCCTTCTACACAGACTAAGGCAGAAGGCACTGGGCCTATACAGGTCTACACTAGATGGGGGTCTTAGAGTTGAAAGGAGAAGTGGACACATGCCTCCATCTCTAATCCAGAAGCTAGCTCCAACTGGTAACTACTGGCAAATGAAAATTTAATTTTCTTCAAGGGAGTCTCACTGGGGAGACAAACTACTTGTAAGAGTGGCTGCAGGTTCAGTATAGATGGCCAACAGAAAACAAACTCAATAGCATCTTTGGAGGTTCCTTGCCTCATAATGCCAAGCCAGGGCTTAAGAATTATTTTTAATGTTGTTTTTATTTTATTTATGTATTTTCCTCTCTTTTTAAAGGTCCTTTACAAATATACAATAGCCTCCAGTTTCGTGTTTGTATGGGATTCCTGAGGATGTGAATGACTGGATTTCTGCATTTATGTTTCTTATACCTTTTCTTGGGATCTTTTCCTTCTGTTTGATTTGTCCTATTCCAATGTAATAGTTTTTATTTTATCTTATTGTATTTTATTATTATCCCCAGAAGGCTGTTTATTTTCTAATGAGGGCAGAGGTGGGCTGGATCCAGGTGGGAGGGAAGATGGGGAGAAACTGGAAGGAGTAGAGGGAGGAGAAACTGTAATCAGTATATGTTGTTAGAAAAATTCTATTTTTAATAAAAGAAAAGAATTTTAAAAAATTGGGGTATCAGCCACCTCTCACCATTATCATTTGGCCAACACCCCCAACCTCAAGATCAATATGGCAGTGTTCCCCCCCCACCCTCTGCTTCTATGCTAGCTTTCCATGGAGATGTCACTCTGGCACACAGTCTGTGCCCACGGGAAACTCATCATGTCTTTCCCTGCGGAGTATCATCCTGTGTCTTCCCTGTCCTTAAGAGCAAATCCAGAGGCTCTTCAAGGCCTGGCACTCCCATCCTGTCTGGCTCCTATGTGCGCACCTTGGCACCATTGCTCTCTGCAACAGATGACAACTGCTGCCTTGTCACCCACAGCAAGCTCCTTCCTCTCTTCCAGGACTTTCCTCAAATGTCAGCTTCTGCATGAGTTCTTCCTGATTTCTCTCTGTGCAATGGCCTATCTCCTCCCATATGACGTGTGTGTGTGTGTGTGTGTGTGTGTGTGTGTGTGTGTGTGTGTACATGCGTGTATGTGTGTAGGTCATGAAACTAGAAAGGGTCCTGAGAAGAGAGGAAATAGTCTTGAGAAGGGGGAAACAGTAATGGACCCTTGTGCTGAGAAAACAGAAAGGGCATACTATCTGGGGAAGGAGGGGGGCCAGCAGAAGGGGCAGGAAGCACAAGAGGGCAGTGGAACAAAGGAAGACATCGAAGTATGAGAAGCCACAATAAAACCCAATGCTTGTATGCTAAGCTAAAAAATTCAATAAATAAAAACACTATTAATTACACAGACTTTGTGATGGCTATTCCTGGTTATCAACTTGACTACATCTGGAATTAACTAAAACCCAAACAGCTGGATACACCTGTGAGGGATTTTTTTTTTCTTAATATTTGAAGTGGGAAGACCCATGTGTAATATGGCTCTTTTGAGGTGGGAAGATCCACCTTTAATCTTGGCCACAGTGTCTGCTGGCAGCCTAGATAAAGGACATGGAAGAAGGAAGCTTTTTGCCCGCTTGCTCTCACCCTTGATAGCAAGTTCACTCCTTCACTGGCATCAGAGCCTACTTCTTTGGGATTCTGGCATATAATAAGAGCAGCTGAACATCCAGCCTTGTGAACTGAACAACCACTGGATTCTTGCACTCTCCATTGGTAGACAGGCATTGTTGGACTAGCTGGACCACAGCCTGTAAGCCATTCTAGTGAATTCCCTATGTATATCTATATACCTGTATCTATATTATCTAGGGGAACAAAACATGTAGAATGAGTATATAAAATATACATATTCATTATATATCATATTATTGATCAGAGAAGTGAAGAAATATATATATATATATATATATGTTCATTCTACAAGTTTTGTTCCTCTAGACAATCCTAATACAAATTTACTATACATTTATAATATAGTTTTTATATTTCAAGAACAATTTAGGCTGTCTGCTAAAACTTCTAAGTGAACTATTCACTAAATGTATTTAAGATGAAGAGACCTTAATAATGACCTTCTAAAAGTGTGGATCCATGCTATGTATACCATGAACATTCAACTTTAAGGAATTCTGTATGTAATGTGTATGAGTGGTACAAAGAAGTGAACCTATATCTTACAATGTTTGAGTTATCCATCTGTGGTTACTGAGCCTGGTAAAATGATTCTTCCTTTTCCATATTACTAGTATCACAGGTTTTGAAGAACATCAAGTACTTTCTTCTTTGTGAGCCTTGTGTTACAAATCACATTGTGTCTCTCCCATCCTCAAATGTATATGCTAAAGCCTTGACTCTCTCCACTGTGGTCTGCATATGGATATGAGGCTTTAAAGAGATAATTTAAGTTAAATGAAGTCATCGCCTGCTATAGTCTGAGGCAGTCTCACGTACTGCCTCAAATTTCAGATTTTTACTTTCCAAAAATGTGAGAAATACGTTTCTGTTGTTTAAGCCACACAGCCTCTGATACTCGATTACAGCAGTTTGAGAGGACAAATACTTTGCAAAAAATTGGTAACTGACTGTTGGATGGAAGTGAACTGACATATGTTGGAAACAACTTCTGGCCATAGCAAGTAGATCTAGCACATAAACACGTCTCTGGTACAATTTCTAGACTTTTAAAGACAACTGCAGACTTGTTGCATTCATGTGTCACTGATGAATCGAATGCTCAGCCCGCAAGATGCAGGGTCTGAGAGTGCATGTGTGGTTGTACGAGGAAGTTTGGCTGTACACAGAACCACTGCAACTTTAAAGGGGGCACTGGGGCCACAAGTAAACAAACAGGCAAGCCTAATAACATTACACATTTAGAGTCTTGAAATATCAAGTCTTAAAATATCTTGTTATGGATGAGGACAGGTTGCCTCCTCCCGTGTTCTCTCTGATCCCAACTACGGCAGCGATCTCAGCTTTTGTGTTCCAGAAGGATTCACACTGGGGGACAGGTACAACAAGCAAGGTGTCAAGGTTTATTTCAGCAGGTGAGAAAGCAGAAGTGGAAAAGTAAGTTCCTTCCCCAGAAGGGTGGTGGCTCAGTTGAGTGGCAGAGGCACAGGGATGCCTTATGCCCTTAGACTCAATATCTGGGTCTACGGTTTCTACTCCCCTTGCCATCTGTCTGAGTTAAGTTCCCAGTGCTGTGATAAACCCCTTGACCAAAAGCAACTTGGGGAGAAAAGGGTTTATTTCACCTTTCAGTTCTATATCATAACCCGTCTTCTAAGGAAGTCAGGGCAGGAACTCAAGGCAGGAACTGAAGCAGAAGCTGTTGAGGAATACTGCTTACAGGCTTGTTCCCCATGGCTTGCTCAGTCTGCTTTCTTAAATGGTTTAGGACCATGGGCCAGGGGTGGCAGCACCTCTAGTGGGCAGGGCTTCCCGACATCAATTATTCATCAGGAAAATGCCCTATAGCCTTGTCTACAAGCAAAACAACAGAGGCATCTTCTCAACCAACATTCCTCTGTAGTTAGAACTTTTTCTTTGGGCTACCAACAAGCTCCCAAATAAAGACATGGTGACTTATTATTAGTTATGAATGCTTGGTCTTAGCTTAGGCTTTTAACTTAATTTAACCTGTCTCTACTCATCTATATTTTAACTTGGGGCTTTTTTACTTTCATTCAGTATGTCCTACTTTTCTGCTTCCTCTATGCCTATCTGTCTGGCCCCTGGTATCTCCTTGGCATTTCTTTTTCTTTCTTTTCTTCGAACCTAAATTCCTCCTCCTACTTACTCTCCCTGCCAGGAAGTCCCACCTATGCCTCCTCCCTCTCTATTGGCCATTCAGCTTTTTATTAGACCAATCAGGTGCCTTAGGCAGGCAAGGTAAAACAGCAACACATCTTTACATAGTTAAACTAATATTCCTCAACATTTCTATTCCGAGATAACTCTGGCTTATGTCCAGCTGACAAGAAACTAGCCACGACATCACCCTTGGGACAGTCTGAGATAATCTCCTTTCTAAAACAGGAGTTATCCTTTCACACATTTCAGTCTGTTAGAATTAAGTATGTTAGATATAAAAATACACATAAAGTTGAGAAGTTCACTAGGGGAAAGGGCAATGATGTCATGTACCTGCTCAAGGTTGGAGGGTTGGGTTTCTTATAAGGGGGCCAGAGTTCACTGAGACTGGCTCTGTTGTTTTTCCTACAGCTCCATCCCTCCTCTTGAATCTGTTCAGATTAACTACTTCCTGTTCAGATGAAAGCCTTTGTCCTCAGGGTCCCCAGTCTCATGGTTTTAACACCTCTTTAATTCATCTTACTAAAATACACTGGCCTTTAGAAAGTATCAAGATTTAAGATTGGAGTGTAGTGAATTACCAATATTAATGGCAGTTTCTTGCTTGTCTCCAGTAAGGATCCATATTTTGATGTCAGCTTTCATGAGAGTTTCTATGGTTTCAGGCACTTGGTCTTGTAATTTATCCTCAATGGCTGTAGCTCCAAGTAGCTGAAGATTCTGAAAGAAAAAAAGAAGTGTTAAAAATTTGAAGGGGAAAACTGTTTTATTGGGTAAGAACAGAAGGTGAAATATGTTAAAATCAGAGACAAAAGGTAACTCATGGACTTGGGCATAAATCCCAGCCATCCTGCTTTTCCTTCTTAAGGATCCTTCACTTTAGTCCAGTTATTTTGGCTGAGAATGAGACTCCCTGAAGTCATTTTACCTTAACTCTTTCAAAGTAAGGATCTGATTCATAAAGTAGTAACAAACCCCAAATCCACCCCCCTACCCCAAACGAGGGTTTTGAAAGGTCAGCTAAAAAGGAGTAAGTGGCTACTAGAAACAAATCAGGGAGAAACAATCTTGACCTGTTTAAAGCCAGATTAAATTTCACTTTGACGCAGTGTCAGGAAACACACACATACAACAGAACTAAATGTGATGAGGTGGGAAAAATAAACTGAGCGACAACTCGAGTCTCTAAGACAACACAGTTTGAGTGTTTTCCACATGGCTTTAGATTTGTGTGCTGGAAGGTGAGATCATCACAGGGCCCTAGTGTACAAGGCTCTGTCTTTCACATAAAACCTAATATAATGAATCGAGTCATACCTCAGGGATGCTTCTGAGTATCCCTGAGGTATGGAACACCACAATTGTGGTGATTTGAAAGAAAATGGCCCTCAAAGGGAGTGGCACTATTAGGAGGTGTGACCTTTCTTGTTGGAGGAAGTGTGTCACTGTGGAGGTTCTTTGAGGGCTCTTATATGTTCAAGCCATGACCAGTGAAACAGACGGCTTCCTGTTGCCTGCAAGTCAAGATGTAGGTCACTCACCACTCCTCCAGCACCATGTCTGCCTGCATACTTCCACACTGCACCATGATGATAATGGATTAAACCTCTGGAAATGTAAGCCACCCCAATGAAATGTTTTCCTTTATAAGAGTTTCTGTGGTCATGGTGTCTCTTCACCACAACAGAAACCCCAACTAAGATAACAACACATCAAAAATCCTAATGAAGCAAGTCACATGAACTTTTTGTTCTTTTCAGTAAATACATCTTATACTTACACTACACTATAGCCCATTTAGTGTGTAATGCCTTCATGTATGAAAAAAACAATGCTAGTATTTTTTAATTCAAAATACTTTAATTCAAAATACTTTATTGCTAGAAAATGTTAATGGTCACCTGAGCCTTACGGAGTTAAAATGTTTTTGCCAGTGAAGCATTTGCCTTGATGTTGATGGCTCCTGACTTGTCAGATAAGGAGGCTTGCCAATTAAAATAAGACAATGGAATCTGCCACGTGGTTTATTCACTCCATGGACTGTTTTCTCGGGAGCATGCAATGCTGTCTGATAGTCCTTTATCCACAGCAGAATTTTTTCAAAGTTGGACTCAATCATCTCAAACCTTGCCACTACCTTCCCAACCAAGTTTCTGGAACATTCTAAATCTTCTGTTAACATTTCAACAATTTTCAGAGCTCCTCCCAGGCAATAGATCCCACGGCAAGAAAGCAGTTTTGCTTTGTTTGGTTTTTGGCTCGTCCATTAAAGTTTTATCATATGACTACAGAAATTCATTTACAGCCTCTAGTTCTTCTGCTATGCCTGCCACATATGCAATTACTCCCTTCTGGGAAGTCTTGGGAATCCCTGAGAGTCATCTCTGAGGGCTAGAATCACCCTTTTTCATGGTTCTTAAATGTGGTGTGACTTTTACCTCATCCAATGAACCACACTGGTGTCTAGGATGGTGAATTGTTTCCAAAAGCCTTTCAATTTACCCAGCTCCATCAGAGAACCACTATGGCACCTATATCCTTTATAGAAAGCATTTCTTAGGTAATAAGCCTTAAAAGTTGAGCTTGCTCCTTGATTTGTGGGCTGCACAGTGAATGTCGTGCTGGCAGGCATGAAAACATTAATCTTCTTATGTTTATAAGTCTGTTAAAATCATTGGCTGACCAGGTGCATTGTCAATGAGCAATAACATTTTAAATTATTTTTTCCCTGAGCTGTACATCTCAGTAATGGGTATCAAATGTTCAGCGCACCAAGTTATAAACAGATATGTCAACCAAGCTTTGTTGTTCCATATACAGAATACAGGCAGAGTAGATTCACCCTTAAAGGCCCAAAGACTTTCAGACTGGCAAATGAGCACTGATTTACTTTAGTCACTGGCTGTATTTGTCCCAATTTGCCTCTTAGAAGACAGGCATTGATTTCTCCTCTCTAGCAATCAATGTTTTAGGTGGCTTCTTTTTCTAATTAAAAAGCTTGTTTGGTCCTCACTGAAAATCTGTTTGATAATATTGACATCTTCATCAACCATTTCCGCTAGACCTTCCGGATGGGTATCTTGTTATAGCTTCTGCACCAGCACTTGCTGGTTGACCTGGAACTTCCATGTATGGAGATGGACTCTTCATTTAAAGTACTTGAGCCAAATTGCTGGCTTTGAACTCTTCTCTGCAGCTTCCTCATCTCTATTTGCCTTCACAGAACTGAAGAGGTTAAGAGCTTGCTTTGAGGGTAGAGAATTCTACCACTGAACCACCCAAGCCAGGAGCTTGCTTTGAATTAGGCTTTGGCTCAGAGGATAGCTTTAGCAGGTCTGATCTCCTAACAAACCACAAAGATGTTCTCCACGTCAGCGTCAGGATATTGTTTTGCTTTTGTATCATTCATGTGTTCATTGGAACTAGACTTTAACTTCTTCTAATAATGATAGTCACAACTTGGCTATTTGGTTAAAAAAAAAAAAAAAAGACAAACTTTTAGCCTTTATTGGCTTTCGATATATTTTCCATGCTTAGTTTAATTGTCTCCAGCTTTTGATTTGAAATGAGAGACACTCAACCCTCCCTTTTGCTTAAATACTTGGAAGTGACAGTAGAGTGAATCTACTTTAAATATTGTAGCTCAGAGAACAAGTCCCTTGGAGAGGGAGGGAGAAGGATGAGTGGCTGGCTGAGGGAGTCATGACAACACACACATTTATTTACGGTGTTTCAAAACAAGTATAATAGCAAATGTTACTGAACACAGATCAGCATACCAAATGAAATAATCAAGACAGGTCTGATTAGTATGCAATAATAAAGACAGGCCTCTTAAGAACTATGGAGACTTAACAGTAAGACATGGAGTGAGCACATGCTACATGTGTATGTGGTTTATGCCTGCATCAGCTGGGAGTGCATCTAGCTGCAATAGAAAACTCTAACAATGACTTAGGAGAAAGTTTGATTTTCCTTACATAAGTTGACTGGGAACTCAACCACATCTCCACATTCAAGTCTCCTAATATCTCAGAGTGGTTGTCCTGGGTACAACTAAAATGGTTATTCTGAAGGCAAGAAGAAAGAGTCAATATCAAGTATATATGTTTTTCATTTGGGAAGCAGAACTATTTCTACATATTTTAACATATTTCCAAACAGGGCCAGTTGGCCAGGCTATGTTATAGTGCTGTCACTACTTATGTATTTAGTTTTCCTAGAATCCATGGCGCATCTGTCAAGGCAGAAGGATGGGTGGAAGTGAGTGTTAAATTAGCTTGCAAATAGCCTCTTCCACAAGGGACACACAGAGAGCCAAGTGTATGAAGAATGTTTACACAGTATGTTTATACACATAAGCCCACCTCCTTCCTCGGTCCCTTCCCTAGTGACACCTGAATTATACAATGAAGCCAAATTCAAAGTTTTTGCTTCTTTTATCTTTCTGCTCAGAATTCAGCTAACTCTTATATGTTTTCACTTACCATGCAGATTGAGCACTTTTAATGGAAAAATCTGAAATCTGAAATGACACAAAATCTGTAGGTGTTGAGTACCAACAAGATGGCCCAAATGGGAAATTCTATACATGACCTCAGGTAACAGGTGGCAGTCAAAATGTAGGTACAAGATGTGGACAATTACAACATGGAATTACCTTCAGACATGTGAGTGAGGGGTATATGAAAAAAATGAATTCTATGTTTTGATTTGCGTCTCATTGCCAAAGAATCTCATTATATAGATAAAGCCCCAAATCTGGGAAAAACAAAACAAAACAACAAACAGCAACTATGAAACACTTTTGTCCCCAACATGTCAGGCAAGGAACACTCAACCTGTGTTATGACCAGGAGTTTGAATGTGGGATTCTGGTAGGCTTGCTGAAATGTGGGATTATATTATTTATCTTTGCATTCCAATAGCATCACTGGGTATGTTCACTAAGTGACAAACAAGACAAAATTCAAGCCCAAATGTTCCAAAGTATTGCTACCATTGAGACCACTTTCTTTTCAATATGTTCCAAGTCCCCTGAACAGCTAACAGACACACCTGGTAAGTGACACTTAGTATATAACACAAAAATGGGAAGGTACATCTCGTTTTTTTAAGAAGGTAGTAATATTTTATTATCTCTAATAGGAATCAGATTTGAAATCTCTCATACCCCAGTGAATAATTATCACCGAGGTCAAGGAGAAGAGGCAGACAGGATCAAGTCATCGAAGCAGCCTCACTGATGCTGTATCCCAATGTTCACACAGTGATTCACTCCATCAGTTCCTGCATCTATTTAGGCTATTTACAGTTATATCACTCCAGCTCATATTCCCTTGAGAATAAAGATGGATCTGTATTCAAATTTTAAATATTATATAGGGGCTTGATAAGGCCTTTTAAAAACTCATGGAGATTGTTCAGACAAAGCCTTGGAAGTTTCTAAACTAGAAAAAGATTATCTTTTGTAACATGTTTCACAAAACATGATAATTAGTGTGAGTTAAGATATGAACCAAGTTATGGGAATTATATAAACACATAGGCTGTGTCATTGCCAGCTCTACCCTTGGAGGGGAGAAATGAGCTCAGAAAGTATATAGGTACACATTACCACACACAGAGCTATAAAAATAAAATGACTTCACTGAAGAGATCATGAAGAAATCCTATTTGAAAGAAGGAATGAGTCTGGTTTTATACAGGCAAAGGAAAAC